AACATGGGGCAGCCAACATTTTCCATAACGGGTCCAGCCTTTCTTGCACAGTGATTCTAACCTTTTAGGACTGAGTTTTCAGTTTGCAGGTTTTGCAAAACCCACTCCTGAAAGTACTGATCATGCCCTCTAAGGCACTCCAAGAGGGTCTGGACTGACTGATTACCACCCATATTGTTTCCTTAGAGACACCAAGACAGACACAGAAGGATAGGGGATTGGATTGAGGACCTGGTAAGGGGTCCAGGGCCCTCGACACAATAGGGTTAAAAGACAAACACTTCCCCTTATTAGTGACTCGGTACAGAATGATATCAGCCCCGGGACCAAGAACTGCACCTACACAGGGTCAACTCTGGCTTCACTGCTGGGCAGCATCTCATTCACTCACATACACAGCAGACTTTCCAACCCAAAATTACTGACTACCTGGAGGTAAGGTCCACGGATCCACAATCATCCAAATCAAGGGCACCTCGGGAGGTAATCGGGCTCCCCTTCTCTCAAACCGTTGAGAGGCCCTGACTGACTGTTATAACCCAAAAGCCAAAGATCTCACCTGTTCCCAATGTGTGAAGCTTCACTATTTAGCAGTTGGTTCCCCAGTCTGGGTTCTTTAGACTCCAGCAGGTCGATCCCGGACTAAGGTGACTAGAATGTAGTGCAGTTTCCCCAGACAAATACCCAGTGGCACCTGAAACAACACAGTGATCCCAGTGGCCAGCTCCGGACCGATCCCCGGGGTTCAGGGTGGAAAGCCACCTGTCGCGGTAGTTACACCTGGTTTCCCGGCCAATGCACCAAAAATGTAGCAATTTTGGCAAACCAGAGAACTACGGACATGGACTTGAGGAAAACAAATGATTTATTAAAAACAGCGCTGTTCTAACTCAACAGATGGCTTATGCTCTCATCTGCTGAGTTATAGAACACTTCTTACAAGCGTATATACCAGTGATGGCGAACCTTTTTGAGCCCGAGTGCCCAAACTGCAACCCAAAACCAACTTATTTCTTTCAAAGTGCCAACACTGCAATGAAACCTGAATATCGAGCTTTTGGTTTAGAAAAAACAACTCGTACAGTAGTGCAAACTAATTAACAGTACAGGGATGACCAGAGACTGCGGACACAGTACAGGGATGACCAGAGACTGCGGACACAGTACAGGGATGACCAGAGACTGCGGACACAGTACAGGGATGACCAGAGACTGCGGACACAGTACAGGGATGACCAGAACTGTGGACAGTACAGGGATGACCAGAGACTGCGGACACAGTACAGGGATGACCAGAGACTGCGGACACAGTACAGGGATGACCAGAGACTGCGGACACAGTACAGGGATGACCAGAGACTGCGGACACAGTACAGGGATGACCAGAACTGCGGACAGTACAGGGATGACCAGAGACTGCGGACACAGTACAGGGATGACCAGAGACTGCGGACACAGTACAGGGATGACCAGAGACTGCGGACACAGTACAGGGATGACCAGAGACTGCGGACACAGTACAGGGATGACCAGAGACTGCGGACACAGTACAGGAGATGACCAGAGACTGCGGACACAGTACAGGGATGACCAGAGACTGCGGACACAGTACAGGGATGACCAGAGACTGGGGACACAGCACAGGGATGACCAGAGACTGGGGACACAGCACAGGAGATGACCAGAGACTGGGGACACAGCACAGGAGATGACCAGAGACTGGGGACACAGCACGGGGATGACCAGAGACTGGGGACACAGCACGGGGATGACCAGAGACTGGGGACACAGCACGGGGATGACCAGAGACTGGGGACACAGCACGGGGATGACTGCTGACCTTTGGGGAGGGAGGGGGAGCGGGTACCTGAATTTGACAGGTACCCGCTCTTACTTCCGCAGAGTTTTTTTTTTTTTATCTTACCTGTTCCTCGATCCAGCCGCTCGCTGTCTTCCCGGCTTCTGTAGTGTGGGCGCTCGTCGGACAGCCGGATGCCCAGTGCGCATGCGCGAGAAGCTCTGCGCTTTGTGATTGGTCCGGCGGCTTCTGGGATCTGTCATGTGTCCCAGGTACCGCCTTACCATTCACAAGGAGCACTGCTTCTTGTGCATGCGCACTTGGGACCCGGCTGTCACGCACACTACAGCCGGGAAGACAGCGCGCCGCTGGATTCTCCTGGCGTGCCCACAGATAAGGCTCGGCGTGCCGGCTGTGGCACGCGTGCCACGGGTTCGCCACCACTGGTATATACCAATGATTACGTCACAATGCATACATTCCTTCTTTCACTTTCTTTTACTTTCAACAGGCTTTCTAAACTCTGCTGAATAACCTTGGACAGCAGCTGCAGATAAGAATCCCAGCTACAAGCTGGTACACATTACAGGTGAAACTCGAAAAATTTGAATATCGTGCAAAAGTTAATTTATTTCAGTAATACAACTTAAAAGGTGAAACTAATATATGAGATAGATTCATTACATGCAAAGCAAGATAGTTCAAGCCGTGATTTGTCATAATTGTGATGATTATGGCTTACAGCTCATGAAAACCCCAAATCCACAATCTCAGAAAATGAGAATATTACATGCAATCAATAAAAAACAAGGATTGTACATAGAACAATATCGGACCTCTGAAAAGTATAAGCATGCATATGTACTCAGTACTTGGTTTGGGCCCCTTTTGCAGCAATTACTGCCTCAATGCAGGGTGGCATGGAAGCTATAAGCCTGTGGCACTGCTGAGGTGTTATGGAAGACCAGGATGCTTCAATAGCGGCCTTCAGCTCTTCTGCATTGTTCGGTCTCATGTCTCTTATCTTTCTCTTGGCAATGCCCAATAGATACTCTATAGGGTTCAGGTCAGGTGAGTTTGCTGGCCAATCAAGCACAGTAATCCCACGGTCATTGAACCAGGTTTTGGTGCTTTTGGCAGTGTGGGCAGGTGCCAAGTCCTGCTGGAAAATGAAGTCAGCATCCCCATAAAGCGCGTCTGCGGAAGGAAGCATGAAGTGCTCCAAAATCTCTTGGTAGAAGGCTGCATTGACCCTGGACTTAATGAAGCACAGTGGACCAACACCAGCAGAGGACATGGCTCCCCAAATCAACACAGACTGTGGAAACTTCACACTGGACTTCAAGCATCTTTCAGTGTGTGCCCCTCCATTCTTCCTCCATACTCGGGGTCCTTGGGCCTCTCCATTCTTCCTCCATACTCTGGGTCCTTGGTTTCCTAATGAGATGCAAAAGTTGCTCTCATCAGAAAAGAGGACTTTGGACCACTGAGCAACAGACCAGGTCTGTTTTTCTTTAGCCCAGGTAAGACGCTTCTGACGTTGTTTGTTGTTCAAGAGCAGCTTGACAAGAGGAATACGTCATTTGAAGCCCATGTCCAGGATCCATCTGTGTGTGGTGGCTCTTGATGCACTGACTCCAGCCTCAGTCCACTCCTTGTGAAAATCCCCACCACTTTTGAATGGCCTTTTCCTGACAATCCTCTCCAGGCAGCGGTCATCCCTGCTGCTTGTGCACCTTTTTCTTCCACACTTTTCCCTTCCACATAACTTTCTATTAATGGCTTTGATACAGCACTTTGGGAACATCCAACTTCTTTTGCAATTACCTTTTGAGGCTTTCCCTCCTTATGGAGGGTGTCAATGATGGTTTTCTGCACAACTGTCAGGTCGGCAGTCTTTCCCATGATTGTGATTCCTACTGAACCAGACTGAGAGACCATTGAAAGGCTCAGGAACCCTTTGCAGGTGTTATGGCTTAATTAGCTGATTAGAGTGGGACACTTTGAGCCGAGAATATTCCACCTTTTCACAATATTCTCATTTTCTGAGATTGTGGATTTGGAGTTTTCATGAGCTGTGAGCCATAATCATCACAATTATGACAAATCACGGCTTGAACTATCTTGCTTTGCATGTAATGAGTCTATCTCATATTTTAGTTTCACCTTTTAAGTTGCATTACTGAAATAAATGAACTTTTGCACAATATTCTAATTTTTTGCGTTTCACCTGTATACTCACAGGAAATAAGGGAGGGGGGAAGATGAGCCAAAAACCTTGCTTCTACAAACACAGGCTGATAGAAGTCTTAGAGTTTAACCCCTTGGCGCCGGCGCCTCCCGGCCCTTTAACCGGTTCCCGCCCGGCCAATAGCACAAAGGCAGCTGGCAAAACACCTCATCCCTCTGGGTGGACGCCATATGGCGTCCTTTCAGGCACGCACAATGCGCCTGCCCACAAGGCTGCTCTGCAGTGCAATCTCTCACCAGGCGTGTACCTCGAACACAGCCGATGACAGATCTGTGTACTGGCCCCATTTCCAGTACCATATGACCTGCTGTGACCAATCACAGCTGGTCACATGACTATTGTATACAATGGATGGCTTCCTTTCATGCCATCCATTGTATACTAGTGTCTAGCTGTGAATGGTCACAGCGATCACATGCACAAGCTGGGCCAATCACAGGTCAGCTGTGCCATGTAATTAGCCATGGCCAAATCACACCTAAGCACAACCCCCCCGAATGAATCAATGTCATTCAGGTAAATGCTTGCCTACAGCAAACTAATTCTTTACTATCAGCAAATTGTGTAAAAAAAAGAAAAAATATTGATCACTTCCCCAAAGTAGTACAATGTTACTATGGTGACATTATACTACTTTGGTCATAGTGCAATATGAAAAAAAATCTTAAAAAGAGAGAAAAAAAGTAATAAAGAATTTAAACTAATAAAAAAAAAAATATATATTTTTTTTTAATACTGTCATCAGTCTGTGTCCCTGATCACTGCCATGCCAGTTATATGACGCTGTACTGCACTGGTGACAGTATGTAAAAAAAAAAAAAAAATAATAATGAAAATTATTTTTTACATTTTTTAATTTTCCGAAAAATTATGACAAAAAAATTACAACTTCAAAAAACTCACCATGCCTCTTATGAAATACGTCGGACTGTCTACTCTGCAAAAAGGGGTCATTTGGGGGATATCTGTACTGTTCTGACATTTGGGGGATATCTGTCCTATCCTGACATTTGGGGGATATCTGTACTGTTCTGACATTTGGGGGATATCTGTACTGTCCTGACATTTGGGGGATATCTGTACCGCCCTGACATTTGGGGGATATCTGTACCGCCCTGACATTTGGGGGATATCTGTACCGCTCTGACATTTGGGGGATATCTGTACCGTCCTGACATTTGGGAGATATCTGTACCGCTCTGACATTTGGGGGATATCTGTACTGTTCTTACATTCTTGGACCTCAAGAAATTAGATTGGCTGTCAGTACTTCAGGATTGATCACTGTTTGACCATAGTTTGTGAACTCTATAACTTTCCTACAAACTAAATAATAAATACTAATTTGGGTTATTTTCACCAAAGACATGTAGCAGAATACATCTCGGCCTAAATTTATGGAGAACAATTATTTATTTGCAAACTTTTATAACAGAAACAAAGAAAAATGTTTTTTTTTTCAAACTTTTTGGTCTTTTTTTTTTTGTTAATTTAGCAAAAAATAAAAACCCCAGCGGTGATTAAATACCACCAAAAGAAAGCTCTAGTTGTGTGAAGAAAATGATAACATTTTAGTTTGGGTACAATGTTGTATGACCGCGCAATTGTCATTCAAAGTGTGAGAGCGCTGAAACCTGAAAATTGGCCTGGGTAGGAAGGGGATGAAAGTGCCCGTTATGGAAGAGGTTAAGGGTTTCAGACGCCTGCAGGCGGGGCGGGATCTTAGGGTCATGTGACCGCCATGATTCGCGGTCACATGATTGGGAAAGGTCCAGATCACAAGAGATCGGGACCTTTCTGTGAGTACCGGACATGTGTGCTGGGAGCGCACAGGACGCGCGCTCTCAGCACATGTTTTTCTTAATTGCACGCAAATATGCGGCCGCTCAGCGTGAAGGCCCAGACACCGGGAGGCCAAACATCTGCATGCAGCCGGCGCCGAGGTTAAAGGGAAACTCTGCCATATCTGGGTGCTACCACAAGAAATGGCCTGGTGATGGGGGGGGGGATCCTCCGGAAGGCAAGTGGTTAATTTAAAAGTGTTCTCCAATCTCAGTTACAGTGGGTGTGGTCTCTCCCATTCACAGTGCAGACTCCTCCCACTCCCCATGGAAGCAGTGGGCTCTCTGCAGCAGTCCAGCACTCCTCCTGCTGAATCATCCACTCAAGCTGACACAGAGCAGAGGATCAGCAGAACAATCCGCCGTCCAGCATTTCCAGAAGACCAGCCTGAATATTATTCTCATGATGACTGGATTCTTCTCCATCCCTGAGTGCACAAGATGGGGCCCGCCGGCCCTCTGCCCTGAGTGCACAAGATGGGGGCCCGCCGGCCCTCTGCCCTGAGTGCACAAGATGGGGCTCGCCGGCCCCTCTGCCCTGAGTGCACAAGATGGGGCCCGCCGGCCCCTCTGCCCTGAGTGCACAAGATGGGGGCCCGCCGGCCCTCTGCCCTGAGTGCACAAGATGGGGGCCCGCCGGCCCTCTGCCCTGAGTGCACAAGATGGGGGGCCCACCGGCCCTCTGCCCTGAGTGCACAAGATGGGGCTCGCCGGCCCCTCTGCCCTGAGTGCACAAGATGGGGCCCGCCGGCCCTCTGCCCTGAGTGCACAAGATGGGGGCCCGCCGGCCCTCTGCCCTGAGTGCACAAGATGGGATGGGGGCCCGCCGGCCCTCTGCCCTGAGTGCACAAGATGGGGGCCCGCCGGCCCTCTGCCCTGAGTACACAAGATGGGGCTCGCCGGCCCCTCTGCCCTGAGTGCACAAGATGGGGCCCGCCGGCCCTCTGCCCTGAGTGCACAAGATGGGGCCCCGCCGACCCTCTGCGTACGGCCGGCAAGCTGTTAGCACCAGTTAGGCAGCAGAGTGCTGGGAGCTGGAAACTGTATATCAGACCAGGGCTGTGCAGTGACACCAAGGAAATAAGATGCCATTCATTTACATCTATACCATGTAATAAACCAAACTCCTCTGAAATGGACTCAACACACTCCACTGTGTCCAGAACCCCATGCAGCTGAGAGCTGAAACACGCTATGGGGGGGGGGGGGGGGGGGGGTTAAAATTCACAGTTATGACCACCAATGCAGTGGGGTTGGGTGATTAGATTTCATTGTGGGGGGAGATAATGACACCACTTCTGGGGACTATGGTCACATCCACTGACACCAATGCTGGGGTTATTATTGTGTCCACTGACACCAATGCTGAGGTCATTATTGTGTCCACTGACACCAATGCTGAGGGTTATTATTGTGTCCACTGACACCAATGCTGAGGGTTATTATTGTGTCCACTGACACCAATGCTGGGGGTTATTATTGCATCACTAACAAGAATGCTGGAGATTATTCCACTGTTGGGTTTTGTTTCGTCCACTGACACCAATGCTGGTGGTTATTATTTAATCCACGGACACCAATGCTGGTAGTTATTATTTCATCCACTGACACCAATGCCGGTGGTTATTTCATCCACTGACACCAATGCCGGGGGTTATTTCATCCACTGACATCAATGCTGGGGGTTATTATTTAGTCAACTGACACCAATGCTGAGCGTTATTATTGTGTCCACTAACAAGAATACTGGACATTATTTCATCCACTGACACCAATGTTGTTTTTTTTTTGTTTACTGACACCAATGCTGGGGGTTATTATTTCATCCACTGCCACCAATGCCGGGGATTATTATTTTGTCTACTGCCACCAATGCCGGAGATTATTATTTCGTCTACTGCCACCAATGCTGGGGGTTATTATTTCATCCACTGCCACCAATGCTGGGAGGTATTTCATCCACTGACACCAATGCTGGGGGTTATTATTGTGTCCACTGACACCAATGTTGGGGATTATTTCATCCACTGACACCAATGTTGGGGGTTATTTCATCCACTGACACCAATACTGGGGGTTATGATTGTGTCCACTGACACCAATGTTGGGGATTATTTCATCCACTGACACCAATACTGGGGATTATTATTTCATCCACTGACACCAATACTGGGGGTTATTATTTCATCCACTGACACCAATGCTAGGGGTTATAGTACTCCTTATGATACAGTGCAGATTATAATGCATTAGAAGCCATTTATATGGAGGGGGGGGCAGTGCTATTGGGTGTCCCCTCTGGAAGTGTGGGGGGGCCACATATGAGGCCGTCTATTATGGGCAAGTTGCCCGCCATTACTCTGTATCTGGGCTGCTATTGGCCTGTCCTTCTGAGCATGCTCAGTGCCTGGCTGTCACGGTCACCCATTGGTTGAGGTGCAGAGTATGAGGCTGGCAGCCTGGACAGATCACACACATATGTGAGGAGAGGACACGACGCTCCCCACACTGCGCCCAGCTCTGCAGCACGGAGCCCACGCGTCTGCGGCGTTTCCATGGGACCTGGTCCCTCCCCCCGTCGCGCTGATTGGTCAGAATCTCCTGCAGGACAAAAGTCGGCGTCAATCACACCGCGGGAACTTCAAGTTCTCCTTCCGCCAATCAACGCGCGGGGAACGCCGGGACCTGACGTCACAGGAAAGGAGGGCGGGATTGGTTGCCGGAAGCGAAGGCACCGGCGGGGGAAATGGCGCCGAGCTCGAAATCGGACCGGGGAGCTAGCCGGAAATGGGGCCCCCGGGATCATGTCATTCGACAGCTGGACCGTGTGAAGGTACCGGGAGGGGCGGGTCTGGGGGGGACGGGGCAATGCTGAGGGCGGATGGGAGGTGTTATTACTGAGGGGACAGGATTACAGAGACCGAGAGCGGGGGAGCAGAGCGGGTATATAGAGGGGGAGGGGCCGGAGTGGGATTATAGAAGGGAGGAGAGGGGGATACAGAAAGGGGGAGGGACCGGAGAGTGATAAGGGACGGAGGGTGGGGTGTAACTAGGAGAGGGGGGGCTGGAGTGTAATAATATCACAGAGGAGGGGCTGGAGCATAAAGGGGAGGGGCTGGAGCGTAATAATTGAAGGGGGTGGGGTGTAACTAGGAGAGGGGGGCTGGAGTGTAATAATTGAAGGGGGTGGAGTGTAATAATATCACAGAGAAGGGGGTGGAGTGTAATATCACAGAGGAGGGGGCTGGAGTGTAATAATATCACAGAGGGGGGCTGGAGTGTAATAATATCACAGAGGGGGGGCTGGAGTGTAATAATATCACAGAGGGGGGGCTGGAGTGTAATAATATCACAGAGGGGGGGCTGGAGTGTAATAATATCACAGAGGGGGGGCTGGAGTGTAATAATATCACAGAGGGGGGGCTGGAGTGTAATAATATCACAGAGGGGGGGCTGGAGTGTAATAATATCACAGAGGAGGGGCTGGAGTGTAATAATATCACAGAGGGGGGGGGGCTGGAGTGTAATAATATCACAGAGGGGGGGGGCTGGAGTGTAGTAATATCACAGAGGAGGGGCTGGAGTGTAATAATATCACAGAGGGGGGGCTGGAGCATAAAGGGGAGGGGCTGGAGCATAATAATCGAAGGGGATGGGGTGTAACTAGGAGAGGGGGGCTGGAGTGTAATAATTGAAGGGGGTGGAGTGTAATAATATCACAGAGGAGAGTGTAATAATATCAGAGGAGGGGCTGGAGTGTAATAATATCACAGAGGGGGGGGGGGCTGGAGTGTAATAATATCACAGAGGGGGGGGGGGGGGGGCTGGAGTGTAATAATATCACAGGGGGGGGGGGGGGGGGCTGGAGTGTAATAATATCACAGGGGGGGGGGCTGGGGCTGGAGTATAATATCACAGGGGGGGGGGGGGGCTGGAGTATAATAATATCACGGGGGGGGGGGGGGCGGGCTGGAGTATAATAATATCACGGGGGGGGCGGGCTGGAGTATAATAATATCACGGGGGGGGGGCTGGAGTGTAATAATATCACAGAGGGGGGCTGGAGTGCAATAATATCACAGAGGGGGGGCTGGAGCATAATAATCGAAGGGGATGGGGTGTAACTAGGAGAGGGGGGCTGGAGTGTAATAATTGAAGGGGGGGTGGAGTGTAATAAATATCACAGGGGGGGGGCTGGAGTGTAATAATATCACAGGGGGGGGGCTGGAGTGTAATAATATCACAGAGGGGGGGCTGGAGTATATTAAGGGAAGGGGATGAAACATGGGTAGAGCATATTGAGGAGGAGCTGAGTATAATAAGAAGGGGCTGGGAGTGGTCAGAGGGTAATGAGGAGGGACCGGAGCGTAATAGAGAGAGAGGAGGGGCCGGAGCATAATAAGGGGAGGGGTTAAAGTGTAATAGAGGGAGGGGATGGAGAGGGAGGGGGGGCTGGAGTGTAATAAGGAGTGGGAGGCATCAAGGTATAATAAAGATAGGGGGAGAGACCAGAGCATAAGAAGAAAGGGACAGTGTAATATGGGGAGGGGTGTAATAAGGAATTGGGGAGAAGCTGGAGTGTAATAGAGAGGAGGGGCCAAGTGTAATAAGTAGAGGGGGATGGGTTGGGGTGTAATAAGGAAATGGGAAGAGGCTGGAGTGTAATAAGGAGAGGAGGGGCGGGGCATAATAAGTAAATGGGGAGGGGATGGAATGTAATAAGAGGCGGGGTGTAATAAGTAGAGGGGGAGGTGCTGGAGTGTTAGAAGAGGAGGGGCCGGGACATAATAAGGAAAGCGAGGAGTGGCTGAATTGTAATAAGGAGGGGTGGGGTGTATTAAGGAAATGGGGAGGGGTTGGAGTGTAATAAGGAGAGGAGGGGCTGAGCATAAGGAAATGGGGAGGGGCTGGAGTGTAATAAGGAGAGAGGGGGTTGGGGAATAATACAAAGGGGTAGGGGCTGGAGTGTAATAAGGAGGGGTGGGGTGTACTAAGGAAATGGGGAGGAGCTGGAGTGTAATGAGAGGAGGGTCTGGGGTGTAATAAGGAAAGGAAATGGGGAGGGGCTGGAGTGTAATATGCAGAGGAGGGTGGGGCATAAGGAAATGGGGAGGGGCTGGAGTGTAATAAGGAGGGGCCTTGGTGTAAGGTTGAGTCAGAAGGGGCGGGCATTGACCTCATGACTAGAGCAGTACTACATTGTGGTCACTAGATGGAGGTGAGGAGTGTGGGAGATCCAGATGTCCTGTTAGTGGATACAATGTCTGCTGGAGAGAATTGGGCAGTAAATGTAAGCGGTCTCCTGGGCTCCTCCCCTCCAGTCAGTGTCTGTAATGGAATATTCTACTAGCAGGCATAGAGGACATTCCTCCTGAAGAGGACTATCGGCCCCCTGAGTGTTTCTGGCCAGTCAGGAATGTAGGTAGTAGGATTCCATGGAGGAGGGGCTGTGTGGATGGTGTATATTTGGGATGTCTGTACCAGAAGTCCCCTCCTTGCAGTCACCAATAACATTGTTGTGTATGTGATCCCAGAATTAGGGAAGGTCTCTTTTTTTTTTTTTTTCTCTACAGATCACAGGTCAGCTCTCCCCTCGTCTGTTTCGGAAGCTTCCACCCCGCCTCTGCGTGTCTCTGCGCAACATCGTGGATGAGGAGTTCCTACAAAAAGGGTAATGACTGCATCGTTCGTAATTCGAACCATGTATGGCCTGCATTAGGCGGCACTGATTGCCAGCACAAATGGACACTATTGGCTGCACTGATGGGGCTACCCTGATCACCAGGACACTGATGATCAGTGTAGATGCCTCCCCTGTGAAATGCCACTTACAGGCTCTCCTCTCCCCCGCCCTGTCAGGGTGAGGAGAGGACTGCCGATAACCAGCATTTCCTATTTACCCAGTGAACAGCTGTGATTGGACACCGCTGGTCACATGGTAAAAGCGGCTGTGATCGGCCCATTCCTTAGTCATGTGATCAGCTGTGTTTGAAGGAAACCGCGATCACAGATTGCATGGTGTGTGTCCCAGGGGGCATGCGGGTCCGTCTTTTGGCTATAGCGCAGTTGGGAACTGGCTAATGTGACTGGCATTTTTGCATTGAAATCATTATGGGGCGTTTTTGAATTGAAGTGGGAGACAATTTTGCATTGAAGTTAATGGGATGTGATTTTACACTAAAGTCACTAGGGGGCGTTTTTTGCATTGAAGTCAATCTTAGGTGATTTTGAGGGGTCATTCACTCTGGAAAACTGAGCACATCTTGTGGCCAAAAAAGTAGTATTGCTGCTGATTTGCAGCTTTCTGGTGAGATTGTCTGCAGCCTGACTTGGGGAGTGCCACGCCTAGAGCGTGCCAGATTGGATGTTGCATGGGTGGTGACCTTTGGGCACTGGGTTCCTTGTGGGGCACTTTCCAGACTCCATTTTGGTATGTTAGCTGCAGAATGCTTTTCAGCTGCTGGGCCACCAGCATGGCCTCAGTTCTTGGCCCGTGTGAAGACTCGCTCAGTGTGTAGGCAGGTCAGGCTGAGCATCGAGAACCATTTCATTTTCATTGGTAGCTTCCCTTTTTTTTTGCCTAGAAATTAGTTAATGCCATGTGTGTGAACACTGCTGTCATCCACTAGGTGTCCTGTGTGTGCTCTGCGTTCTTTTCCACCATGAGTTCGCATCTCTCCAGTGCCGCTCTTTCTTCTAAAGAGCCACGTGGAATTTTACTCTTTAATCCATTCCTGCTGCTCACCATCAGTGACTTTAGTCACCTCCAGTTCATCCAACCCCCACCTGCTACCAGCTGTTCGGGTTCCATGCGTATTTGAGGCCTTGGGGACCTCTGGTCTTACTAATTATATGCGTATTGAAAGATGCGCATCTGGTGAGTGCGTATTTTTTACTATTTACCAACACACCACTGGAACGTGAAGTCACTATCAACTCCTGTACCGATCACCTATCACGAACTGTCACCAATTTTATTAACAGACTGGAGTATATACCTTTTAGCGCTGCACTTTTCATATATATGTATTTGAGGCCTTGCCCCTTACCTTGAGCCTTTACACTGCCTTAGAGGACTGCGTTCATAACATGTCTGATCATGGACGCTGAGGGTTGGCAGTCCCGCTGTAGCCTATGGCTCAGCTCACTTACTACCATCAGCTCCTGGGCTTTTTACATTGTGTTTGCTTCTTGGTGCCAAAGTCATCAGCCTGGAATTATGCTGTCCCCTGCTGTTAGAGCCTCTCCTGTCCTCTTGAGTCCACTTTGACTCTGTCAGTTGTGGCTGGTTCCTCTGCCCTCACTGCTGAGGTTTTTACCACACTCATACAAGACTTTATGACCCAGTTATAATGCAGAGGCCGGAAGTGCACTTCCATGCCCTCTCCAGCAAATTTTGTACCTGGTTTAACTGTGGCTTTAAGGAAGGAAACAAACTCTCTTGCGCTCTATGACCCAACCAGGGGTAGATAGATGGGACCAGGACTTGAAAGTTTCCACCACCACCAGTGGGTATGGGGTTGTGCAGTTCCAAACAAGGCTGGGGAATCCCGACCAATACTGCGAAGCGAAAACAAACAGCGCACAAACTTTGCGCATTAACTCAGTAAACCAAAACTCATTAGATACAGAATAATACTCACAAACAATGATGAATATCAAGCATGTAAGTCCTCAAGGGGACTAAAGATTAAAGCAGCCTGCGTGAATCCCATCATAGGAGTGGACACTCAGGGAACATCTGACGCGTTTCGAAGAGCATCCCTTCTTCATCAGAGCTTCAAACTGTGGCTTTGGTTGCTTTTGACCCAACGGCTACAGAGACTGTCGTCTGATTCTGGTCACCCAAGCCCTTAATTAATGAGCTTACTTCTGAGGAGACGCAATCTTCTACTATTAATGTAATGGGCACCACTCTGAAACTGGAGGATTAGCCTGTTGCTGTACCAGTACTATTTCTTGTCTTGGGTCAATTAAAACTGCTAAGAGGACAATTCCTCTTCTTCCAAAGTGTCCCAGGAAGACGTCAGCTGTACACCCTTCCGCCGGTCCCTGCTGTACTTACCTCCAGGGATGCTGTGCTCACAGTGCCCACACAGCCTGCCCAGCATTCTGGAGATTTGAAATCAGGGTGGATAAAAATCAATGATTTTTTTTTTTTTTTTATTATTTAACCACTTCATGTCCAGACACTTTTACCCCCTTCCTGTCCAGGCCAATTTTCAGCTTTCAGTGCTGTCACACTTTGACAATTTGCGCGGTCATGCAACACTGTACCCATATGAATTTTGTGACATTTTTTGAGACCGATAAAACTTTATTTTGGTGGTATTTATTCACCACTGGGATTTTTATTTTTTTTGCTATATAAATGAAAAAGTCCAAAAATTTTGAAAAGTTTTTTTCTTATAAAATTGTGCAAATAAATAATATTTCATCATAAATCTTAGCCAAAATGTATTCAGTTATCTTTTTAGTTAAAAAAAAACACAAAAAAAAAACAAATTTAGTTTATAACCAAAAATTATAATTTAAAAAAAAAAATTAACATTTTCATTTTATTTTTTTTATATTATTTGTCTTTTTTTTTTCTTTTCTACATACTGTCACCCTAGCAGTACAGTGTCACCATGATGACACTACTACTTTGGGGGGGGGTGATGATTTGTTAAAAATTTTTTACACGGATTGCTTTTACACCCATAAAGGCTATAAAAGCAATCATTTCTCCTTCTCTCTGGCTGCGTTCTTGCAGTCATTGAGAAACTACTGTGTGAGCTGTGATTGGTCACAGCTTGTCACATGGTACAAGGCTGTTGTGAATAGCCTTGTACTGTGTGATCTCTCTCTCTGATCATTCACAGATTTCACACGTAGTAAGCAATGATGTCCAAAGTGACATCTTCCTTATACCTATTCATGTGATCACTGATTGGCCACATGATCGGGACCTCACACAGAGGTCCCGTTTAGAGATCGGTGTTCCATTGTGTCCGGAGAACACAACAGGCACAGATCACGGTGCCGTGCACTCCCAGGGAGCGCGCACAGGCAGTGAATGCAAGGCCGTTAATAAACAGCCAACTGCTCCTGCACTGCTCCCGTCTGGCCGTTTATATACATGGGCCAGACTGGAAGTGATTAATTTAGTACCGCGCAGTACCGCGTGCTCCCAGGGAGCGCACACAGTCCAAAATGGCGGGCAGCCACCTGCTCCTGCACTGCCTCTGTCCGGCTGTTTATATACATGGGCCAGACGGGAAGTGGTTAAAGATGTCACCTTTGCATCCACGTTTCCTACTTTCTCTATGGAAATTGGAAGTGCCTTGATAAGTTGTATGCTCTCCCCAAGCGCTTGCAAGCAATGCATCCCTTTTGTGAGGCCCGGATCTAGCGATGTCTCACCTTAGCACGGCTCTTACTCTAAAGGTAGAGGATGTGTCTGTCTTTAAGGACCCAACAAGTTGTTGGAAGTTTTTTTTCCAGAGCTCTGTTCTCACTGATGGTTCCTGTTGTAAACCTAATTCAGACTGCTTTACTCTGGTTGGGCAGAATCCCTTAAGAGATCTAGAGTGCTGTGGTTTGAACTCATGGAGCAGATGGCTTACTTATAGCTGTGATGGCTTGCTAGAAACCTTCTGTCTCATTGCCCAAAGGTATCTTTGGCATATGGCACTTTGGCTAAAGTTCTGGGTTGCGGAAACTTATTGAGAGAAAGGTCACCCATCTTCTTCGGTGGAAGTAGTCTGAAGAGTAGCCTACAAAGTCATCTGACTGTCAAGAAATGTCCCTTTTGGTTTCTCCAGTCCCTTGATGACTGTTTGCCAAATCCTCAGACAAACTTTCCTCCTTTATAGAAGAGCACTGCTGTTTTCCAGCATAGGGAGATGTCTGTTCAAATTTCTTAGCCTTAGTTTGCATCCCAGATGCCATGTTCCATGGCTACAAAGTAGAGTTTCCTCCCTGCCACCTCCATATTTCTTAACTTGCACTGTTCCTGTGTCTCTACACAAAACAGTCGATCAAGTTATTGCCTTTGTCCCTGAGACAGAATAGTTCCATTGATTTTACTCCATTCTGTTTATTCCCAAACTTAAAGGGAGGGAATTGACCCCATCTTGGATCTCAGAGCTCTAGTGTTTACTTTCAAAGCCAAGAATTCCCAATCCTCCAGATCTGTTGTTGCCTCATTGCACCCGAGAGAATTTCTGGCTTCTGTAGATATCAGATGCTTACTTGCATGTGTCTATCTTTCCAATACATCAGTTAATTCTACTCTTTCATGTTGGCCACTTTACTGCTAGTTTGTGGTCCTGCCCTTCGCTCTCGCCTTCCGGGTTTATCGAGGTGTTGTATCCATTTGAAGCCAAAAATCTCCTTCCACAAGAGAAAAAAAAAAAACTAATTCTACAGCATAATCAGTCTTTCAGCAAACTTGATTTCCCTATACTAATGTTAGTGTATAAAAATAAAGTCCAAAAACCAAAATCCAAATAAAGTCCCAAAAAAATATTAATTCATAAAAAATCTTTATCTTCAATTTCTCAATTCTTCATATCTTCAAACCACTTTTGTGATATACTCCAAACAAAGTCTTCATATACCTCAAAGAAAAAAAAAAAACTCAACATGTGTATTATCTCCAAACAAGTATATTAAAACGTGCCACAC